TGTACATGTACATACTTTGGTAATAAATACATATTTATTTTTTATTTACTTATAGATAGATGGGTAAATCTAGTTACTCTAAGGATAAGGAGAAAAGTTATACTTATTAAACATTATCTAGTTTAAATCGAAGAATCGCGTGTTTTTGAAAATATAAGGATATTTGTGCCTACACGTATCTCACAAGATATTTCGAGAACGATTTTCCCACCCAGACTACTGCATAAACCACTTTCCCGTACGAGACATGCTGCTCACGCAGCCACGAATCGTGCATTGCACTTGATTGGGGATATGCTCACTCGATATGACAATATAGACATTTTCGCTGATAGGCTGGAAAATTGGTTGACGCATCTTATAGATTCTCGGATTCTCTATGACATATCTGTAATGTATATATTGACATTTGGTTTGGGATGGATTTGGACATTGTATTATATATGATTATCGTTTACCTATTTACAACTATAATTTAAGTTACAGAATTGACATTTTTATGCAAATTTAAATATATGTAATTTTAATCTTTTATAATTAAATATTAATATTAAATATCGTGATTAATTATTCATCCCAAAGGTGAACTGGTAGTGAATTCTACTAGCATTAAATACATCTTTTGTATTTTATTTTATTTGGTCAATAAAGTTATTTAAATAAATTTAATAAATAATTTGACATGTACAGAAAGTATAATTGCCCATGGTGTGTTAGAGTTTGATTATCGGTAAACGGCAGGTAGATAAACAAACAAACGAACAAGCAAACAAATAAGTAAACAAATAAAGGAACGAATGAGCGAGCGGACTAGCGTGCGAGTAAGCGACCAAGCGAGTAAGCGACCAAGCGACCAAGCAAGCAAGCAAGTAAATAAAGCAATAAACTCCTTAATAATTAGGGAATAATTTTTTAAATACTATAAGCACGTAATGTACGTTAGTTGTTATACTTCCTTAAGTTATTTAGAAGAGCTGATGATGAAAGGTTCTTAACGGTTAGGAGTTAGGGAATAATTCCTTTAATATTATAAGCAAGTACAGATAATTTCTTAGACTCTCATAAGTTATTTGGGTGATTGCATCTGGGAGTCATCTTTTTAAGCATCTTTCTAACATTCTACTGCTGAATGGATTATCTTATTAGCGAGAGTTAAAGGTTTTTAGATATGAGTACTGTGATCACTAATAATAAAAAAGGAATTAAAAAAGAAATTAATTTTCAATCCGAAGTTAATTAATTTGTAAACTAAGATACAATTATGCTATGATATAATGACAGTTTGACTGTATTAGATGAAGTGGTTTCTTCTCACTGCTTACGTATTATTTACACTAAAATGGAAAATATAAATAAACATCTTTTTTTAAATAAACCAACTTAATAAAATGTAACAGGAACCAAAAAGCGAAAAATAAACTCATATTTATCTTTTAATTTAAAGGGCGAAATCTGTTTGAAATCAGTGCCAAGACTAAGGAGAAGGAGAACAATAATTATGATATTTAGAGCTATTATGATATTTTAAAGAAACATAATTCTAATGAAATATTTAAATATTTTTGTTAAGGGTTAAAGATCAACCCAACAACATCAAACAAATGTTAATTTATATAGTTATCTATCCTCAACAATATAATCCATCAATTGGCAGTCAAAGGTCAGTTTATTTTTCACTTTTTGGTCCTTGTTACATTTTATTAAGTTGGTTTAATCTTTTTTAAAAAGTTTGTTTACTTTATTATAGATAGTAGCACTTATGGTATCAAGGTCGACCTACATGTGATTCCCTTTGGAAACCTTCGCGATTAATTCCTGGTGAATTCGTCATGATGGACTAACTTGACTTTATCCACACCTATCATTTCATTGGTAGCTTTTAGTGTAAATTATGTGGGATTACCATTCAATTTGTATCTGTTAAATAAAGATACTCTCCGATCACTTCCAGAACATTAATATTTAATAGAAAAGGTATAGAATACTGGAAACATGTTTCATGTCGATGTGTGTTCATTTCTATACATTCATGCAATAAAGCTTACTGGTAATCCGAGACGCCGTTTGTTCACGACAGGACAGATCTGGGGATTTTCCAGATTCTGCTCCGTTTCGTCTCTAGGTAATGTGTGTACTTTGTATATCTGTACAATATCTTCCAATGTATATATATATATATATATATATATATATATATATATATATATATATATATATATATATATATATATATATATATATATATAAAGTCATCTGCAAAGATAAGAATATCAGATATAAATTTCGGTTATAAATAATAATATAAATTTACTGTATAATTAATATTTTTATAATAATGGTATAAATAATAGTACGGCACCATAAATAAAAAAAAACGCAAATCATAATTAACGCTCTCTACTGAATAGCTGTTCTGTGTGCGTATCTCTAACGATTGGACGGCGCACGAGTCGCGGTGATTCAGTTCCGTGAACGCGTCAGCAGATTGCTCGTGAGCTTAGCCCGTGCCGCCGTTGACATTTCCTTTTAATATTTTTAATAGCTACAGTTTAGTTTTACTGCTAAATTTTTCTATTGCTAATAAGTGTGTGTTTAAATGACGCTGGGGATCTCAGACTATCTCTAAGCGTCGTAGCTGTGCTTGCTTCTGTTCCGATGCTGTCACGGAGATGCCGCGTGCTTTGCTTACTTGGTACGGAGAAAAGATAAACCTCATGTACTACTTCCACCACTACCAATACCTCTCCAAGGTAGTGAATCTAATAGTTACTTAAGTCTTATTGGCGTGTACTAGGAGAAAAAGGACATTATATTAGTATTAATACCGATACAGTGGTTTCATTGACTCAAACTACCCTTTTAACCGTGGCTGCTGATCCACGATTTATCTGCCGCTGTAATAGGAAATACTGTTTTTAGTTATGGTAATACTTATTGTGTATTTAAGGTTCAGCTACTGTACATTAGAATTAAGTACAGAAGTAATGAGTTCCTATTTCATAAAAAAGTTTTGTGCGAGGAATTTGCAATTTTTATGCTGTTGTTTATGACATTTTTTCTTTTTATGCTTATCATTAAATCAGGAATGACAATGCATAGGAGGTATCATAGGCTCCCACAGATGTCCATGGTACTGCTCATATCTATAGACGACGGTTACCACTTTCCATCAAGTGGGCCGTCAGCTTGTTTGCTATTCTAAATTGCATAAAAAAATCTTCTCTTACATTTTTGTCTATGATATGGCAATAATATTACAGAATACGGAGGCGTAACACATAGTCTTCAGAAAAGGTAACGCATGAATGGCACCATGTTTGTAACAGTGCAATCTATGACGTGTGAAAAATTTAATAACGTGATAGTGTACCAGACTGTTTATTTGTTTCAACTATCTACTATAAGCATGTCTGGAAGAAATTGCATGGAGATACGAATAAGATTGCCTTGAGTAGTCACGTCTGGGGTGTATGTACTACTTTGTACTCATGTTGTTGGCGCGTAAAAGATTTGATAAATAAAATAGATGGGACGGATAATGTCCGAGGGTCTTAATTGGATTCTAATTTCAAATATTTTTTTAAATCTTTCATTTTAAAAACATATAATTGGATATTGAAGTATTCGAAAGAATAATAGAATTAAATAATAATAATATATTTTTTGGAAATTATTTGATTTCGGCTATCATATATATGGACGAAGATAATATAGAGAAAACAGGCGTGGGAATAACTGTGTACTAATTTATTTTAAACTACTATTAGCTAGTTTCAAAATAAATTATTAATACTACGTAGTCTTTAGTTCTCTATTCTTTATATAAAAGTACGTTAATTACAACGCTTTAATATTCAAGGACTGCCTGCGGCTTCAAAGAGTGTAAAAGTGAGTGTATAATTGACTTGCGAGTGTGCATAATTAAAACTTTTACTCTGCCATATATAATTATGTTAAACTTATATAAATATAGCTTTGTATTTGTAATTGTTTAGGCTTGTATTAGTTATCTATATAAAATAAAATCAGTTGCTGAATGTACGTAAGCGCATTATTTAAGATCAGCTGTTCTTATATGGCTAATTCTTTTTTATAATGTTTGTATTTGTTAGGAACTTTTGTTTGAAATATCGTACGGAAAAGTGAAATATTAGAAATAATAATATCAATACATATAACAAAATCGTAACTGATCGCTGTCTGTGTATGGAATATATATAAGAAAACCTACTATATTTAATACTAGGCTTTATGAACGCAATAGTACCCAAAATAATGATTTTTAGAATTTTTGTCTGTTTGTCTGTACGTTTATGCACGCTTATCATAGAAACGGCTTAACCGATTTGAATGCGGTTTTCATTAATGTATTGTGGGTTATACCACTTAACATTTAGTGTTTGTTTTATTTTAATCGGTTCATAAATAAAAAAGTTATAAGAATGTAAAAAATCATATATAAAATACCATAAAGTAATCGGTAAATTGAATTAGCCAAAAATTTCTTGTATTGTATGTATTGCTTTTTAAAAATTCTGTCTACTCGTGCGAAGCCTGGTCAGATAGCTAGTTTATATATATAAAAGTGAGTGAGTGAGGCAGAAGATAGAATTGACAGATTGACGTTCATTATAGTATATCCGTGCGATGTTGGTGCGGACAGCTAGAATAGTTTACTAACTACTAGCTTTTACCCGTGACTCCGTCTACGTGACTAGGATATGTTTACTGTATATATAAAAGTAGCCTATATTCTTCATCATTCTATATAGTACGTGTATACCAAATTATATAGTGATTAGTTAAGCCGTTAAGGCGCTATTGGGTTACAAACAAACAAACTCACTCTCATATTTATTAGTAGAAAGAATACAGGTGGAAATCTGTTAAGTTTTCATTACAATAAAGATTTATATTGATCATAATTAAAATAATTGAGGGACAAATACACAGTGAAATGGCAAGCATTAGCATTTTTAAGGGAACGTTTTGTCAGTGAAATGGAGCAAAAAAAGGACAAAAAATATTGTGCGTCCCGTGCTAACACGGCGCAAGTCAAGGTAATCAAGTAAGTATATAATATTCTGGATTATTTATTAAATCTATTTTCATTATATTATATATTTCTCGACGTGCTGAAGAAGGGCCAAATTAAAAGTACCCGTAACCGGCGAGCGTGTATGGAAAGATTGATGAATGTGGAAGAAGCGAAAGAGGTTTGTTTGAATCGAAGCATTTGGCGTTCCATTGTTTCTGCCTTACCCTAATGAGAGACAGGCGTGACAGATATGTATGTCTATTTTTTTTTACTAGCCTTAATAAAGAACTTGATTTCACTCTATTTGCATTGAAATAATTTTGTTACATATTCTTTATTATATTTTAATAATAATAATTTAATGATTACTACATTACATATGACTGAACATGTTTTTCATACTCAATAAACTTTCAAAACGCAATGAAGTTAGTTCTCGAAATTTCCAACTATGCTTACATTTACGTATATTGCGTATGTAGGTCAGGTAGTGCGTAGGTAATGGCAAATATTAGACGACGTGTAAGTTATGTTATAACAGAACACTGTTATGACTCTGAATAATTATATTTTAATGCAAATAGTTCAGATATTAAATTTCGTAGTGCTTTTCGTTATGATAGTTTACGATTTAGTGATATAAACTATTTATGTTTAGATCGTAAAGTACTTAAGTATGACTTAACTATAATTCATTTGTAATTTTATTTTATAATTTAAATCTTATTGTTATTATTTATTTTATTAATTTCAAAATTATAATGTAAATATTGACTTGCCATTGTGTGACGAAAATTGTTACATTGGTTAATAAAGAAATATGAATATGAATATGAGTATGCATGCAATTTTGTTTTACTGTACACAGGCATATATCCTTTTTAAGTTTACTTTTTTTTATAGATCTATATAATATTTTAATCTTCTTCAATTTTATACCTTTATATAAATGAATAGTCAGCTCTCATAGTAGCTATAGTTTTTTTAAATGTATGATAATGGAATGGTAACCCTGCCTGCGCTAACCGTATACGCTGGCGGGGCACCAGTGATAGACCTAGCACCTAGTGCTAGCAATGGGACTGGTAGTCCTCATTACTAATAATCCCTTCCCCCCCAGTAGCTATAGTTGTGTGTATGAGACAGTAACAAGAAGTTATAATTGACTGTCTTTTATTTGGATGTAGGTCGTAATAGCCAAGTTATAATAATAATAACGCAAAATTTAACAAAACATGAAATTGAAAACTTTATTCATGGAAGACTGAAAGCTTAAAATTTACTTATATTAATTTTGTTAATTAAGTGTAATATTATGTTCTTTTTTGTACTAAAAATAAGACTTTGGTCTTATTAAAATCAGTATTGGTTCAATTTATTAAATATTAGCGATTGAAAAAAGAATGAACAAAATCTGTTCAGAATTAATGAAGATATCGTGTAACGTCAGTTTAGATTGAAAAATAAAAATGCTTGTGAACGGTCGACGAGTTTTAGATTATCTGTGTTGTTACATTTTAAGATTACGCTTTTATACTTATAGACAACAAATAAACAAATAGTTTGATTCACTGTTGATCCTGTCCAATTCAATAAACTACGACGCGTAGTTAAAACAATTCTTCTTGAAAACAAAATCCAATTTATTTCCAGTACCGATTGGAGGATTTCTATTGACGTAAACTAAATTGATACGTCACATTTGATGATGACGTGTCAAACTGGAAATGTGACATTTACGTTAGTAAAATTTCAATTATATAATAGGCCAAGAGCTTGTGACATATTTAAAATGTACTTGATAAATCGTTGTCAATTTGCCAACATTTTTATTGTCGACAAAATTTTTATGGGATATGTTAGTTTTAACTGTATTTTTCAAAATAAAGTATTAGGTTTTTCGTAATATATTTTCTTACAATATAAGAAAAAGGGCAATTCTGTTTAACGTTCACGAAAACATGCCATGTCGTTAGAAATATTATTAAATTCCTGTTAAGCGATTGTAGTATAAATTAAAATTTCCTCAAAATAAGAAGAGATACCTATAAAATAAATAAAATAGCCTTCATTCTAGTACTTACAAAATTTCATGTTGCAGTAGATAGGATAGAGGCCTTTGGAATTTAGTAATATTTGTTTAACCTTAATCCCTAAAGACTTATATAGCAGAAAGCACCATATATTCGCGTAAAGATAAACAGATACTGTCCAAAATAATTTAGGTCAGTTTATTTCTAGACAACAATACAAAAGAAAATATAAAATATGCTTACTCAAGTCTGCCCCAGAGGGCGCTACCTTTCTACTATTAGAGTGGTATTAGAATAGTCTGACCCAAGGCATATTTAATACGTTCAATATCTTTATTTGAAGAGATACTGTGATAGTCTTTAATATTGTTTAATAAATTAAAATGTAGGTTCAAAGAGTTGTTACTTATTCAAAACAAAATATGAATATGTACCTATTTACATTTAATTTAATTTATTGGAGATATAAAAAAAAAGGAAATCGAAATGAAATGAAATGAGATTTATTCGTAAGAAAACATACCTGTAGTTTCTTAGCTAATATTAATATTATAGTTTTATAAGGGTACAGTAATTATGGTTTTAGAACTGGGCTCCAAAATAGGTTAATATAATTATTTTAATACTGGTATGTATTAACACAATATATATAGGTATAGTAATAATATTATATTAGAGAGTTTTAATTACATAATAATTAAGCCTATATAAAGAAAAATTTGGAAATATTATATTGTATTGGTGGACTTTTTTATGTAACTTAGTACGACAAACGAGGTGACAGGACATGACATACCTGATGGAAAGTGGTAACGGTTGCTTATAGATATGGACATAACAGAGTACACAGTGTCGTCCATGATATCCTTCACACGTTGTCATTCCTGAGTACTAAGGTGTTTTTTTCAATGAATAATAATGGAATGGTAACATCGCCTGTGCTAACAGTATACGCTGAGGCATCAGAGAGGGATGATAGGTGAGAATAAAAAGGCAGGTCAGTTAGACCATCGTGATGAACACCCCCGGAATTCAGCACGATGGTTTTCAGGGGGGGGGGCACGTGGAGTACGACCTGAGAGGGAACATTGCTAGCAATGGAACTGGTTATCCATATTACTAACAATTCCGCCTTCTCCAGTATTAGTACTAAGTATGTATTTGTACCCTGTAATTTCATTGCCATATCTCATTTGCCCTTCAAACCGAAACACAGCCATGCAAACACAATTGCTTTATGACAGAAACATGAATGGGACAGATGTATCTAAGTAGACGACTTTTGAACAAAGTTTCCCTCTGGTAAATATGTGATCTAGTAGATCTGGCAGATGTTTTATAAGTAGACAATTTGTAGATAACTTTCAAATAAATATTGTAAGTGTATGTAAATTAGACAATGTAGATAAGAAGTTCAAAATTGGAATTAAAAGTAGTATATTAGTATTTCTGTCAGTTGTCTAATGTCCATCTACAAGTTCTATTAGGTTAGGACTAGATAACACTGTGTATAACAATATCTTTATTTATCTGTGTATTTATTCATTTATTGTTTCATTTAAGTACAATAGTAGATGTAATTGATGGCCATCTTTGTTGTATTGTATAAAGGTCTCCGAGGAGACGTGATATACGAGTATAGACAGACAAAAATAGATCTAATTGAATTTGTTGTCTACGCTTTAGGCATTTTGTGGACATGCTATTTTGAAACTCAACAGTAATGTTAAATAATATTATTTATGACAAGAAAATATCTCAAAATTAACAAGGATTTGATTGCAAGAAATAAATTTAGCTAAATATATAGACTGTATTTTCAAAATATACACATTTACATTTGTTTTACAAACTAAATCGATAATTGTAAGTTATTTATTCAGGGTTAAATAGAATGTGATGGAAATTTAAAAATAGTTGAAATTCACGGATCAAATATGATCTCTCTATGGTCCCAATGAATGAATGAATGAAAAAGTTAAAACATTATTTTACACATTTACTTTGAAGGGAGTTCAAAGTAAATGTGTAAAATAATGTTTTATTTTTTACAGTTCCGTATCTCAGTGATTTAAAACATAAATATTATGAATTTCTTTGATATTCTATTTGTCTGTTTATTACGACTCTTTATAAGTGCTACTGGATTAATTTGAATGAAATGTTGTGGATAGTATACATATATAATATAGTATTTGTGACACCATTTAAAATCTTACGAAAAGTGTCACAGGCATCATCTAACAGGTGATTTTATATAAACGTAATAAGCCACAATATAGTAGGACTTTATTTCTTTATTTAAATTTTTATTGCATTAAAAACATAAAAATAAACAATGACATACAAACAATTCAAGTGAAATACAGTAGCATGAAGATTAAAATGTACACATAAAGGTACAAAAGCCGGTCTTATCGCTAGGGCAATCTCTTACAGACAACCTTTGGTTAAATTAGACCAGAGGGAGACTTTGTACAAAAGTCGTTTGCTTGGGTACCTCTGTCCCATTCGTGTTTCAATCGTGAAGCAGTTGTGTTTGCATGGCTGTGTTTCGGTTTGAAGGGTAGGATATAGCGTGAATTTACAGGGTACAGAGGAATAACACCTGAGTCCTCAGGAATGGCAATGCAAGGGGGGTATCATGGGCGAAACAGTATACTCTGTTATGTCCATGGTATTGCTCATGTCTATAGGCGACGGTTACCACTTTCCATCAGATGGGTCGTCAGCTTGTCTGCCATTCTAAGTTATATAAAAAAAAAAAATTAATAAAATTAATTATAGTATAATAGGAGAGTAAAATGTATACAATTTTTTAGATATTGGCGCGTACAAGAACAAATTGTGGTAAGAACCCGTTAATCACGTATATGAAGTGTAAAATATGTGCAATTTTATGAAGATCCTTTTTAATTTCATCCTGTAAAATCATAAGTGTATCTATATAAATAAAGTATGCAATATTTGGCTCTTCTATTACATCGCG